TGTGTGTGTGTGTGTGTGTGTGTGTGTGTGTGTGTGTGTGTGTGTGTTTCACTGTTTGCACTCTCACCAGTTGTCAAAGATGGGAGTTTTCAGATGCTCCCTCACTTCTTCTGTCACATGCAGAGAGCTACGGCAACACAGAAAGGACACACAGCTCAAACCTTCTCCTCCACTTCAGCAGCACACACACCTGGTGAGAATTTACTCACCTCATGTTGAGGAACTTCCTGCGGACCTGTTGGCGCTGCTCCTGCACACTCAGCTGAGAGCTTTTGGGTTTCGGGGACAAGTTGGAGAGCTGATGGTCGCTGTCCTCCTTGAAGAGACCCATCCAGCTTAGGTGCTTCACACTCTGACAGAAGATTCAACTTCATTATGACTGAAGACCTTCAAGAATGCTCCTCTAACTCATTGAATACAGGCTTTAAAGAGTTAATTTAAGGTGTGTTTAAGCAGCCTAACCCCTCATTCTACGCCTAAGAGGTGAGACGAGGATGTTTGCTTTATTTAAAAGGGATGTGCATTGTATTTCTAGTATTTTTAAACAGTTTTTCTGAATCTTTTGGACTTTTTATTTGATGCTGCTCCTTCACAATAAAAGCATTTCTTCAGTGAAGCAGCCAGCAGGTGTTTTATATTCATATATGCTTTTGTATGAGTGTGTCCTCATAGGTTCAGAGTGACGAACCTCCAGCTTCCTCTTGAAAGACTCCACCTGGCTCTTCAGCTCACAGACGACATCCGGAGTCTTCCCCAAGTCCTCCATGACTTTGCTCTCCAGATGATTCAACCTGGAGATGCAGACAAGAGAAACAGAATGTGCGTCTCACCCAGACGCTTCAAGAAAATCTCCTCCACGTGATGCACTCACCTGTGCTCCATGGTGTCCAGCTCATTTGGCATCCCAACACCTGCATGTGTACAACATATAGACATCATATGTATTAAAACATGTAGAAACGATGACCGTCGTGGTTTTTACGTTAGTTTCAGGTGCAGGTTTTGATGCAACATTTTATATTTCTGCAGAAATCCACCTCTGTGGTCGTGTGTTTATAGAGGGACAATCATGCAGCCAAGACGTGGGGTAGAGTTGAGGTAGAGGTGAGGTAGAGTTGAAGTAGAGTTGAGGTAGAATTGAGGTAGAGTTGAGGTAGAGTTGGGGTAGAGTTGAGGTAGAGTTGGGGTAGAGTTGAAGTAGAGTTGGGGTAGAGTTGAGGTAGAGTTGGGGTAGAGTTGAGGTAGATTTGGGGTAGAGTTAGGGTAGAGTTGAGGTAGACATGAGGGAGAGGTGAGGTAGATGTGAGGTAGACGTGAGGTAGACGTGAGGTAGTTGTGAGGTAGAGTTGAGGTAGAGGTGAGGTAGAGTTGGGGTAGAGTTGGGGTAGAGTTGGGGTAGAGTTGAGGTAGAGTTGAAGTAGAGTTGGGGTAGAGTTGAAGTAGAGTTGGGGTAGAGTTGAGGTAGAGTTGGGGTAGAGTTGAAGTAGAGTTGGGGT